GTTGGGTAATTCCTCATAGATGACACAGAAGAACACAAGCAGAATCTGAACAAAGAAGTACACAGGATGTTTATAAAATGGTTATTTGTAATTTAGAGTAGTTTATCCTACTTGCAATACTGTTTGTATAACAAATCAAAATATGTGTTGAATATTTTCAGAATTTAGCAATCAAATATGCAATTTTAAAATGAAATTTGTCAGCCACAGGTATGAGGTTTGGTGTCCTTTCATACGAAAAGCTTAGCATTGCTCTGTGGAGACTGAAATGTGAATTAAGTGCAAGGTAAATGTTGCTCCTTGGAACCAAGCCACGACTCTTTAGCTGACACAGCATGTTGTGACTGCTGCAGCAAAGTGACATTATCACCTTTTTCCTTCCTCTGCTTCGGGCAGCTGAGCAGAAAAGACATTCCTGATTTCTTGGGAGAGGATCAGCAGGCAGGAATCCCTAGAAGGTGCTTTGGCTGAAGCTGGTGCACAGGGGGAGGGAAGACAACCTTCCTGGCACAACAAAGGCTCTTTGATGATTATTAGGATTTTCCACAAGTCCCTCTCTCTGTCACTCACAGCGAAGCAGCCTCTGATGGAAATGCACCTGGCCCAGGTCTCCAAGACTGCTGCTGATGCCAGGTCACAATGCAAACGCTGCCAGAAACACTTCTGGGGAAGGAGGGAGAGGATGAGTGTGCAGGGAACAAACTGGTGCTTGGGGGCCAAAAGAAACTGGCAGGACCCCCAGCAGCCTGAGGAAGCCAGGACAAGCTGGACATGGCTGGAAAGAGCTTCTGATGGCAAGGAGCCAGAGGAAAAAATGCCTCCTACTCGTAGGGTTGAGAAAATTATTTTAATTGTACAGATCTTCTGTTGGTAGAAATATTTTTTCTAAATATCACTGCAGGACTTATTAAAAATAAGAAATTCTCTGTCATACGAGGTTCTACACATTTACAGCAGGATTTGAGGTGCTAAGAAACACTGCTAATAGTCCTTAAGCTATTAACAAATCTATCACTGCTATGATAGATTAAACACCAGAAAGAACCTACTTCTAATATCTGGTTGCTCTGTTTCATTGGCTCTTTTTATTTTCTCACACTGCTGCCTCTCAACCCCAGTGCAGTGCACCACCTCTGACATACTGAAGAGAGGATTTTCAGCAAATTCCAGTTTCTACTCCATTCTTTTCTTTTGTACAGGTAAGAGCAAAACAAAACCCAAACTATAAGTAAAAGTGTGGACCATATAATTATGTTCTTAATGCCATTTCCTTTCATAAAGGACTAAAATCCTGCACTTAGAGGCAACTGTCTGAAATGTGAAATGGAGCAGTTGTTCTACAGAGCTCAAGGATATTAACATAATGATACCTCTAGGACAAAGTGAAAGAAAATATGGTATTTCATAGAAATTGCTAGGATAATGCAATTATTTATAATGAATGAAAGGAATTTTTATTTCTTAAGTGTCAAGACTTGGAAGATTCCTCTTTTCTTCTGGTAACTTCTTTTTTTTTAATAAAAAAAGTCAAATAGGACATGTACTGGTTGAAGGATGAACTGAACAGTTCCAGAAACAGTACTGGGTAGCTTATTTGGGGACACTGGGTCAGCACTGACTCAAAGGGACATTTTCCACCACAGGAATAATTTAATGACAGTTCTGAGCACTTTAGATGCTTTACTGTCCATAACTTAGTCTAGTATATTATCTTAGATTAGATTTTGAGACACCATATACTCCTAAGTACTGGCTTCAGTTCTTCATTACAAATGGACCAAAATTTTACTACAATAATTCAGCCTCACAAAATGTGTTTGATAAAACGCCAACAAGGAATGATAAAGCATCTTGGCCCCACAGCTTGATTACAATCAATCTTCCCCAGGGATGTGGTCACAGCCCCAAGCCTGGCAGAGTTCAAGAAGTGTTTGGATAATGCTCTCAGGCACCTGCTGTGATACTTGGGAGTATCTTGTGCAGGAATAAGAGTTGGACTCTATAATCCTTGTGGGTCCTTTCCAACTCAGCATATTCTGTAATCAGTTGAAGTCACTAAGGACTACCACTGAATTTAATGGTAGTGTCAAGACACTATTATAGATAAGAGGGTCCAATTATTAGTCAAACTTTGAGACTACAAAATTATTTATGTGGCAACAAATTCCCCTTAGATCCATGGTGTTGATGCTGGCAGATACTTTTCCAACAATTATTTGTACATTAGTTTCTGTGGGTCACCATGGATGCATTGGAAGAGTGAAAAGGTTAAATTTACTTCATATACCAGCTACATCTACCAAAAGAAGCCACAGAAAACTCCTGTTGTTTGTACCTGAGCCTCCCCAGCAGGTATGAAAGACCTACCAGGTATATTGGCATAATGAAACACAGCAAACCAACCTTTGTCAGTCAAAGTTGCTGCAGTGGGAAATAACAGTTCCAAAAGCAGCAGTACGAAAATGAATTCTTAACTATTTATACAAAACCCCCAAACAACCAAACCAAACTAGGTAATCTCATTGGTGAGAAGTGGCTACGTTGGCATCATGCTTAAATATTATTGGTGTTGGTTAAATGTATCCTCCCTAATCATGTTAGCACTTCTTAACATTCAAGGGGATTAATTTTTTCCCACTGAGGCTTGTAAAGCATTATCTACAGAAGATCATATTAGAAGGGACAGGAGTGAATTTAATGCACTGGATTTGAAGTAATTTACAAAACTCATTAAAATTCCAAAGATGCAAAACGGGTATTCTGTGATGGGCTTCTGCAAATCTGGAGAAATGATTCCCACCCCCCATGGGAATACTTTAAGCACAAAGGAAACTCTGCAGCTAGAAACAGAAAAGCTCCATGGCTTAGATGAAAAGTCTGCTTTGTAAATTGAAATATATCATTAGTTTGTCTTTTGCAACTGAAGCTTCTTAAATACCATCTGAGTGAGTCTGGGAAAGCAGAAGAGACAGCTACATTTTATTTTAGCTGACATTATTTATGCTTGGGAATCTTGAATGGCAAATAACTTTAAACAACTGCAGTGACAGCAGTGCAGAATTAAGACAATAATGTGAGAGGATAGAAAAAGAATTCTTTTCCCTTTCCAGAAAAACTTAGGTAATTCCCTTTTCTCACAATTTCTCACAATGCATTCTTTACTGGGTAACCCATAAATGTTGCTAATGGACTAGCAAAGTTTTAATGGGAAATATTATTTTTGGGCTTACTATTCAGAAGAACGTGACAAAGAAAGCCTTTCCTATTTTCTTTACCCACACGTCTTGATCAAATAGCAAACACCACCTGTCCCCAAAGATCCTGATTACACATGAAGACCACCACAGCTATAATTAATGAGGCAATTCATTTCAGTGATATCCAAGCTTTGCCCATATTCACTCTCATTTTCAGAGGTGCCTCCCATAACATGCTACAGGTTTTGTGACCCACTGCTTCATCCCAATCTGACAGTCAAGGTGGTTCAAAATAATATGCCTTATTTTTTGACTGATACCACAGGAACTGTAAGGCTTTAATAGAGGAGGATGGCATGCATAAAACTGAAGAAATTTTAATCCTGTCTCAGTGATTACAGAAGCCAGGAGGCTCTGAAGGGAAAAGGAATGTGTCATGCCTACAGAGGCAAATGTAGATATTGAGGGAGGCATACAGCACATGGTGAATCAGTAAATGTATGAAGACAGGCACAGAAAGAGAACATGACAGCCTTGTACCATCTCGGCCCTATTACAGGCATATTTATCTCCAGAGGTCTGCTCTTCCTGAATTTTCAGACATGCTTCTGTTGTTTCTTGCAATTTGGCTGCTCTCTCCAATTTTTGAATCAAAATTCAGTCTTGAGTTGAAAGTTCAAGGAAATTAGTTTTAAAATCACAAAGGAAGAAAACCAGAGCTGAAGTGCTCAAGATAAGCTCAAGATATGTTCACTGACCCACAAATCCCCTTTTAACTGTATAGGCCTTACATTAGATTGTGTGTACACTGGATAGAGTTTGGTATAAAACATATGAAAGTGAATAGTGAAAGACTTGGCATTATAATCCAAAGTCAGGGTTAAAAAGACAAAATTAGTCACATTTAGTTCTGGTACAATTTCCTTGTAGTAGCTTAATTTGAAAAAAAAAAGGCACTCAGTAATATAGGACTAGAATAATAAAGTAAAAAAAACTGAAAAGAGAAATAAGAACGAATTAGAAAAAAGGTTGTGAGGAATGGTGAATGATAGTCCAGAAACAAGAGATAAAAAACTGCCAATGAAGGGATTAAGGAAGGCAAGACATTACCAGACCCGGGGGAAAGGAAGATTATTTCAGTAGATGATTTATAACTAGATTGACAGCCCCTTGTGGAGACTTCATCTGACAAACTCTTATCAAACCCTTTCAGTTCTATATTCCAAAACTCCTGGAAATACACAGTTGGGTTTCTGAAGTCACTGTGTGTGTGTATATAAGCATGGGTGTATCACATCCAGCACACTGAGTCCAATCTTGATTCAGGTATGCAGGTAAGGTGGGTAAGAAGTAGAAATTACAGAATATTCTGTAACAGCAGGTAAGGACACTGCATTCATTTATATAAAGACACTTATAAAAATGTTGACTAAAATATAAATGGTTTATATAATTAAAGTAAGATTTAAGATCTTGATGACTGCACTGAATTATAGAGAGCAGCTAAAATTTGTTAACAGTTAAAATACGGCAAAAGTGGTATCTTACCATTTGATTTCCCATGACTGTGGAGATGAATAGCCCCAAGTACAGATAAAAGAGCAGATAAAATTCCATAATAAATAATAAATGTCAATGATTTAGAAAAATTACTGACTCCCTTTATCAGCTGAAGAGCTCATCTTTGCTACCTGCTTTCACCACTCACAAATGCGGTTTCACCACATATTTGGCTTGGCACATCAGTAAAGCCTAAATCAGCAAGTTCAGGTCCTTGTTGAGAATTGGAGCCCACCAACTCACCTGCTCCTGGGTCATGTTGTGCAGCTCCTTCTCCCAGGCTGCCTGGTCATCATCCAGGTGGTAGGAGGCAGGCGGGGTGAGCCCACGCAGGATCAGGGGGTCGCGGTCGTGGCACAGGGCTGTCAGATGGCCAATGTACAACTTCAACTTGCTGCGGTTCTGGTCAAGTTCTAAGAGGGGCTGAATGATCTGAAATAAGAGAGCAGAGACAGTGAGAACAGCCTGAGACCCAAGCAGGGATGAAGGCAAAGATCAGCCTCCAAGTTACAATCTTGTCCAGCTTCACAGTGGGAAGAAACCTGAACACTCTTTCCTTCATACTTCTGTCCATAATGTACCAACCACCCAGAAAGAAACCAAGGGCACTGGTGAAAGGGTGCAGTGATGACAGCTGTGTGATTAGATTGGGAAATCATGATGATATGGTGAAAAATAAAACAATATTAAACTGAATGCATTAACTCTACTGATTATCCAACAGTACTTCAGTTTAACTGTTTTAAAAAAAATGATTTTTCTGATAAAAGGTGTCTGTCCACAACTTGTCCAAAAGGTAATGTCAATATAGATTTTTAGCTCGTTTTGCCAACAAACATTTCATTGTAAATTAAGTATGCAATAAACATGGTCTAAAGAGAATAGTTTCAAATTATGCAAAAACACAACAATTCTAAGACGAATGCATCTCTATTGTAGAGATTGGACAGAGACATATCTCCACCAAAAGGTTAACATTTCAGTTTTTATAATGTTTTACATAGTTAAGGTATAGTCTTCTATAGTTTTTGAAAAGGTAATGGCTTTTACTAAACATGCCAGGTTCTATATAACAAACTAAAAAACTGATATAAAAGGATTAATAAAGTACTATTTTATTTCATTTTACTTTACCCAATCTGAATCTAATCATCTCTCCTCAATGCAATCCGAACTAGAGTCATCCAGATCCCATAAAAAGTATCTGAAGAACCATTTCTCATTTTTTAACAAAAATATAGAGCTCAAGTGCATAAGTGCCTCTACAGGGCATCCTTTGCCGTGACCTTCCACAAGAATACTGCTTCATTGTTCTACATGTTTGTGGGCACATATTTGAAACCACAGTATTGCAAACCTCTAAGGTTTGCAGCTGATGAAAAATTAGGGAAGAACTGGGCTTAGGGCCTCCTTTCCATAAAATGAGGTGCTGGGCAGGGAGAGCTGGGAAGCCTTGCCAAAGTTCTGGCAACTTCTCTTCGTGTTCCCAGGCAGAGGCTGCACCTGCTGTTTGTTAGTGGGCTGGGGATATCTTTTCAATAGGACACCTCTGACCCTGCTAATGAATAAGGAGTGAGATAATCTCTGAGTCAACACAACATGGTGCTGGCATTACTTTCAACAAAGACTCTGGCTTCGACCCCTTTTAATAAGGCTGTCAGGGCTCACTTATTTTGTTTCTAACACTGTTTTACATGCATTAGTTTCTACAGAGTGTGAGGATCTGAGAGGCATGACTAAGCAGCTGACTAATGTCAGGCTCTGTGTCCCACACCAGCACATCAGGGTGCTGCCACAGCCACAGGCAGCCAAAGAAGAGGAGACAGGCAGGAAACCTGCAAGAGAGAGAGAGTGAGCTCATGGGCTTTAGTAAAAACCTGTGCAGCCTTGGGGCAATCCATCAAAAAATAATGCTTTGTTCTGTCAGGATGGGATGAGTGGAAAAGGAGGTGGATGGAGAACTGGCTGAAGGGCAGATGCCAGAGGGCTGCAGTGAGTGGCACTGGGTCTAGTTGGAGGCCTGTCACCAGTGGTATTCTCCAAGGGTCAGTACTGGCCCTGGTGTTGTTTATTCATTCATCAATGATTTGGATGAAGGGGCAGATGCCTCCTCAGCAAGTTCACTGCTGGCACAAAGCTGGCAGGAGAGGCCAGTATGCTAGAGAGCTGTGCAGGCACTCAGAGGGACCTTGAGAGGTTGGAGAGATGGGCAAGGAAGAAGTGTCTGAAATTCAGCAAAGTCAGGTCCTGTACCTGGGGAAGAATAACCCCATGAACCATCACAGGCTGGGGCTGACCCGCTGGGAAGCAGCTCTGTAGAGAAGGACCTGGAGCTCCTGGTGGACAACAAGCTGCCCATGAGCCAGCACTGTGTCCTTGTGGCCAAGAGTATCCTGGGGTGGATTAGGAAAAGCATTTACAGCAGGTCAAGGGAAGTGATCCTGCCCCTCTGCTCTGCCCTGGTGAGGCCAGACCTGGAGTGCTGTGTCCAGTTCTGGGCTCCTCAAGACAAGGGACATGGAGCTCCTGGAGAGGGACCAGCAAAGAGCAACAGAGTTGATGAAGGGACTGGAGCATCTCTCTTGGCAGGACAGGCTGAGGGAGCTGGGCCTGTTCACCCTTGAGAAGGAGACCTTACCAATGTCTGAGTATCTGAAGGAAGGGTGTCAGAGGATGGAGCCAGGTTTTTGGTGGTAGAAGGAAATAGAAAAGAGGCAATGAGAAGAAACTGATGCACAGAAATTCCACCTGTGTGTGAATGGGTGACTGCAAACTGCAGCAGGGCAGAATATTATGCTGTCCTGTGTACAGGGCAATAGCAAGAGATGTTTTAATAGAATCAACACAGCTACATTTCACTTCCATCACCAAGCAAAACTGTCTTTAGGCAATTGTATCATCAGCTTTGGTTATTTACTGAATTTGCACTATGTACCAAGTACAATACTATGTATTGTATTTGCCATCTGTTACCAAGATTATGATCTGAAAGTTTAGTGCAGGTGAAAACTAGTGATGCTTCTAATTTAATGGATGTCTTTCCTATTTTTCTTACTATTTAGTTTGCCCACACAGGGTAAAATGATGGATTATCACATCTTAAGAAATTACTGCTCTATAAAAATGTAACAGTCAATGTCTAATAACTAACTAGGTAATAACTAGTCCAATCAATGTAGTAGCAGCCTTGTATTCTTTTCAGACACTAGAGTCTCTTTGATACCCATCAGATGCACAGACTCCAGTCTGAAATGAACCTGTCTGGATAACCTTCCTGGCTATTCCTTGTGAACAGAAACCCTCCTTGATGAAGAGAAAGCAGAGCTATCTAGCAAGTAAGAATGGAAGATTTTCATACAACAGTTGAATCTGACTGCTCAGGGCCAAACCCCCTGTCGAAGCACATTCCTCCTGCACCCTTCCCCCTTTTACCTCGAGCTGGAAAGAGGCCAAATGAGGCGTGTGAAAGTTCTTAACTAGCAGCCCTCCCAAAGCTGTTCACAGAGCAATCATTCCCCTCACTTGGGATCCATTAAACGCTGCCAGTCAAGTAGGAAGTGCCCTTATATCAGCGTTCCTGCCGTATCTAATTTGAACTGGCCACTTAGCAAGAGGTGCTGTGCTTCCCACACAGCAGAGCTGCCCCTGCCTTATCTCAAGAGGGTGTAAGAGCATTTGCTAAGTGGAAAAGCAGGGCAGTGCTGGGTTCATAACCCACACCGTGTTCTCATGATCAGCTCCGAGCTGCAGAGCTTTCTAGGAAAACAGTGGGTAAACAGAGCAAACCCAGGAATATCTTCTAAAGCAGCTCTCATTCATTAATTGCCCTGATAGGTTTAGGCCATCCTCATCAATGCATGGAATGAAGTCTGCTTAATGTACCCTCAACGTCAGAATATTGCTAATGGCCAGCTAAGTTTGACAGGGTTTCACTAAAAAAGGCAATCACTACAACTCTGAGGCAGAAATGTGAAATGCCTGACAAATCTCTCATGCAAACCCAAACCAATTCAACCCACTAATAAAGATATTTGTGAATATATTCCAAATTCAACTTGAAATTTTTTTTTGAGATTTCATACATTTAAAAAAGAATGTTTGACTATGACAAATGTGAATTTAACTGTATTTTTACAAGTCACTGGGGCAAAAGAGCTTTAGAATGCAATGACACTGCTTCTTCAGTGGTAGTCCTACTATTGCTGGACAATGGTCAACTGAAATATGAGTAACTGAATTTCAAGTCTTACATGCTAAGTCTCTGCATTTAAGTATCTATATACACAGCAGTGTCTAGTGGAAATATGCAAAAAACACATAGGTGGTTATTTGGAAAAGAAAACTAACAAATATCCACAGACATCTGCAGAATAAAGAATGAGTTTAATCAATGTGCAATTCACCACAACCACCAGCTTTAAATTATGCCTTCTCCAGGCAGAAGGGTTAATGACCTGACCTTTCTCCCTGCTAACAATCCCTTTTTTTCTGAAGGAAGCAACCACTTTTCTTTTTCAGAACCAAGTAATTAACTTAACTAATTTCAGAGAATACCTTCTAAATTTCTACTTTAAAAACCTGCAGCTGCCATTTGCAACTGCATCAGTCGACCCTGTAAAAGTTATCTCCTTACACAACTTGCCTTACATGTCAGAATAATGCATCAATGTGGAGGTTGATCATGGATCAACAGCACTTATCGTTCAAATAAAAAGGAGAAAATAGCATTTTTTGACACAGCAAGGGCAATATCAAGTGCCACATGTACATTTGGGACTGGCAGGACTGCTGTCATGCCCCCTATTAGCCTGACTGCCTTACTTGCACATACTCTGTGTGTATATATCCACTACAGAACCCTAAAGGACACAGTGATGCTGGTAAGTGGTCTTCATTTTGCAATCAAATAATTCAGTAGTTTTTCTTGACTTACCCCTAAATCTCTAAATATCTGAGAGAAAAAAACCTCCCCAAAAGTACAGCTACATCAAGAAGAAAAGAAAGCAGAACTGACAAGTAATCTCAGGGGTCAAAGTAAACAATGTGAGGTAAAAATGACAGTGTTTCTGCATTAAAAGTGCTACAAAGAAGTGTAAGTGGAATAAATCTGAAAGTTTTCAAGGAATTAAGTAATTTGAGAAACGATCTAGCTTGCCAGCCTGGTCTACACACCGTGAGTGTTCATTGTAAATCCTGCACAGCACAAATGAAGAAGAAATTCTGAAAAAAATCCTAGCAGAAACCCAAAGCACCACCAAACACCTCTTCAAAACTTCAGACTGGACATAACAAATACCTTGGGAAACACAGTGCAGGTATTCCTTTATCTCCTATGAACCACATCTGTCATGTGAGAGTGGAAAATTATTTTCAAACTTTGTTACATACAGTTGCAACTATGCTACCCAACAAAATCCACTTCCCAAACTACC